TAATTCAAAGAAATATAGACTTTTTTCGACATCACACTTCAAACATTTCACAGCTCAATATTCAATTAACGCCATTGATAAAAAATGATATCATCGATTTTCTATGACAAAATTATGGACAGTTTCATGTATTTGATAATATACACAAGTATTGATATTGCTTTAACTATAAACAAGATGAACATGTGCATGTTATATGCCAAAAAGTTGCATTGAAGAATAGTAAAATGAACTTTTAGGTACTTGAAAAATACTAAAAATTATACTATTTTGTTTGATGATTTATTAAACAATGTCAAATTCTTGCTATAATACGTTGATGCTTACTGCGAACAAAATTTGGAAAAGACTAAATTTACAACTAGGTATGTGTTTACGTTTGATAATAGATACATTAGTTGGATACTTATTTTGCTTAATTTTATAGCTCAATTATCTACAAAAGCTGAAGTATTTACTTGCAAAAGAAGTTAAAAAAAAGTTATTTGATTGAAAAGTCATATCACTAAAATGGAATTACATTATAGATTATTTATCTTCATTGTGATAGTCAGGGTGCATTACATTATATTTCAAATCAAAAATGTATAACAAAGTGAAACACATCTACATCGAATATCACTTTATTGGATATGCAATTTTGGATTAAAAAAAACTTGAAGTTAATCAAGATTGATGATCAATTTCTCTAGCTTATGTGTTTATCAAAATTATTCATTTGGAAAGATTTGCGTGGAGTAACACAATTAGAGTATACTAGCAATATTATTACCTTTATAAACTTTTACTCTAATGTGTGTTGGCTACTACTTACGTCTAGTTAGCTCTAGTTTAAAGAGACGCATATGTTAGGTTTTTCCAGAACTTCTTCCGAAGTAATAATATGAAATATGGAGGTTGTTATTGCCACGTCATGAGTAAACATGTAGTGGTTAGTGTTAAATCAAGTTTATTTTAAATTAGGTAGTTTTACCCTAGTTAATATGTAGGTTCTAATGTTCATTATAAATCAAAACTAGCCAAAGCTTTTATTGAGAACTTTAGGATTTTTACTAATAAATCTTTGCCGTTGTTTCCGTGTACGTAGGTTGGCGATAACAAATCAGATATATATGTGTCGGAATTTTTGTGTATGCTCTTTTGGCATTTCAGTATGTCTGCATTGTTGAATCTGCACTTATGTTCTTGTGAAAACATGAAACAAAATTATGGTTATGATTTAAATTATACTTTTTATTATTTTAGTTACTTTCATTATGATCAGTTAGACATTTTTAGCTAGATATCACTATATAAAAAATCTAGCCATATTTTTAATAAGAAAGAAAGCACAATTTTAAGTAAAATAACGTTAAGTTTTCATAATCTCACTGAGATGAACTATCTAAATTTTTTATCTTTCTGTATATGGATCACATACTAGTCATCACTTATGCATTTATACTAAATAATAACATACCAATCTTCAAAATGTAGTTTGATAAATATTTTTCACTATCTTGTGAGAAATTGTAACATATATGACCTTCCAAAATTCATGAAATGACTCTTGTAGACCTTGGTATTGATCATGTATTGTTCATCTTATCGATGTATACTTACAATTCTTGGCCATAAGGTTGTTATGACTCAAAAACAAGAGTATTCAGAAGATTCCCACCTTTGAACAAGGTTTCAGTTATTGCTCCCAATAACATAAAAGTCAATTTAATATTTGATGTTGCTATGATATACTAGAATCCCCTCTATGACAATTCCTCATACTAGTAATGCTATATGAATCTGGTCTTCTATGAATCAATTGTTATGGTTTTTCTCTCAATTGGACTGAAATTCACATATGGATGATTTGCATCTCTCCGGGAGTATGTCACATGGCATAATATGATCTTCTCTCTTCTCACTTTCTTTCTGTATTTTCTTTCATAAGGGAGGTTCTCCCTCTTCGTCCTCTCGTCTTCACTTGCTAACTCCATTTATTTTCATATGTTCTTTGCTCCCAATCCCTACTCTACTTGTATATCCTACGCCTCTGGTGTGTTAGACTTCGGACTCCATCGTTATATGATACACATTTTATAGTCGGACCCATGTATCCATGATACTGACCGCATCCTCCCTGCATTGCGTCCGATCTACTCAGTATAACTGTGGTGAATATAGAATTCTTTTTGGGAGTGGTTAGTTATCACTCACTTTGGGTTAAATAATCCTCACCCTAGTATAAGGTATGCGACCATTCGTTGATATTTATAAGTGTCAATGTCGCTGCATTGATTGCGATTAACATCACTAAGGATTTTCTTCTGACTTGCTGCCAGCCAGAAGGTTTTACTCCCTTTGGCCCTTTACCATTAGCGAACGTAGTTGATTGTAAATGGATTTATAAAAATGGATGTCGTCTTCACCAAAAGAGAAAATGTTTCCAAAAAGTCAACACCATAAACCTGTGAATATCCTTTCGCTACTAATCTGGCCTTGTATCGATCAACAGTTCCTTGAAGCTTATATTTGATTTTATAAATCCATTTACAACCAACGACGTTCTTGCCTGTAGTTAACTGTGTCAATGTCCAGGTTTGATTTTTCTTCAAAGAAGAAAATTCATCTTTCATAGCTTCTTTCCATTAATAGAATCACCATTCTGTAATGCGTCTTGATAAGTAGTAGGTTATTTGTGAGTTTTTCCATACGAAAATAAACCTCGAGGCTTCTTCTTCTTCTTCTCCAACAGTTGGTCATATTTTTTGACACGTTTACTTACTCTTTACCCCCTTTTAAATATAGGATTGATGGTGGGGAAAAAGCTGACCCCGTAGCTATATCTGTAGTCGGGGCCTCAGATGTAGTGTCTTGAAGTCTGAGTTCACCCAGTAAGTGCTCGAGGTTGCGGACCGTATCACCAGGTGATGGTGTACCGAACTGAAGTCTCCCTCTGCTGGTGGCCTGGGTTAACATTGGCAGATAGAGAACCTGCAAACTGGATCAGTCGACGAAGCTAATGGTAAAGGGCGAAAGGGAGGAAAATCTTCTTGCTGCGCAGCAAGTTAGAATAACCGCGTTAGTGATGTTAATCGCCATCAATGGAACGCCACTTACATCTATAAGGATAGACGAATGGACGCACACCTTATACTAGGGTGAATGATAACTGGTTACTCCCTACTAAAGAACAACGTGATAGTCTATCATAAGATTTTATATCTTAGTAAAGAGAATTGTAATCTTGGAGAAAAGAGGCTAAACTCCGAAAGATGTGGATCAAACTTGGAGAAATATCAGTTGCAACCTGCCAGCGTCCGCTGTGGTGAAATCCAATCCCGTGCGTTTATCATGTATAGTTTTAGTCGTTCATTTCGTTGGCTGTGGGGAACTCCAACTTTAGTATACAGCGCAGGCTTGTCTGGTGACGGAGCTTTATGAGATGTTGCACAATGTGCTTAGATGCCACAATAGAAGGAGGAGACATAAAAAGCTGGTCAAACCTAGGAGGTTAATATAAGGAAACTCCGACTTACGCGAATTTGACGAAAATTTGAAAGAAAGGAGGTAACATGGGACCCATAAGAGGCTATGAGGAAAGTAGGCAGGGACGTTGGAACCGTTGTATGGCCAGCAGCTACTTGACTTTAATGAAGGGGAGGAGGAGAAAGGTTGAGGAGCCACATGACCCTCACCAAAGTAAAGAAAGAGCCAAAACATGAGAAGAGACAAAAGCTGACCGTGAGTGTTTCCTTCACGGGGCCAATGTTCCTTCACAGGTCTAACCGCGTTTAAGATACGATTTTGAAATCAACTCCTACCGAAAAACATTCAAAAGGAGTACAGAAACAAATATGAGACCGTTGAGATGAGATGAGCTTGAGATGAATCTGGATTGCAACGTTTTAACGTCAGGAACTTTCGGAAGCATTTATTCTCAATTCGATATGTTTATGCTGCAACGAATTGATCGAGGTGAAGAAAGAGAAGAAGACAGAGTATGATTGGTTACTTCTTAACGAGGATGTTAACGCTCGTGAGAAGACGGTGAAGCTAGCCGGCAAGCACCGCTACAGCAGAATTGTACTGGTATACTATCCTGCAGTGGTGCACGGCCCGGGTAAAGACAGTCTAAAGTACAAGATTATTCATCCTGCCGTATAATCCAACACTACGCTCTATTTTAGCTCCGTACGAAAGTTCTGCTCATATCCAAACTCTGAGGCTAATGCAGATGGAATCCGAGCCTTTCGGGGATTCTTCTCTTGACCTTTCCACGAACGTTTCCTGTCTGTACCAATTCAAGTCAAGGAAGCCGGCCATTTACGCGCTTCAAAATCCAAGTGGATTGCTGACCATTGTTTGCCTTTGTGCGATGGCACATTCCTCTCTGTCTACAGCTGGTGGTAGTCGTTGAAATATTTACTGGCAGCCAACACCTGTTGCTTGCAGTCCCATGCGGTGACATGCCTCCAACCTGAGCACTGTACAGTCCAAAGAATGACAAGACTAGGATTGCTCTAAATCTTCCTTTATCTGCTGCAACCCTGCAGGAGCTCCCTGTAGCCCTCTTTTCGCTTTAGCTGCAAGCTGTCTCTCGTTTTGGATCTTTATTCCTACCAAGTAAATCCACCTCCTTCACTTCGCAAAGACCAACGCAGTCAGACCTGGAAGACGCGATCGGTGCTTTGGAATACTCTTGGGTTCAAAAGTCAGCTTCCAGCGGTAAACTAAACATAGCACAATATTCAGTTGTTGTCCAATGAAACTCGGCGGAAAGTGGAATGGGCAACAAGTAATATAGCACAAGGGGGTCCCCATCAAGCTGCACAGGGATGAAACCAATGGGTGGAAAGTGAACTCGACCATTCGAAGTGCTTTTCGTGGAACAATCTGCTCACCTCCCTGCTCTCGCTTCCCACCCAAACCACCGTCCCACTATCATCTGCAACCTTTTGGGTTTGTGCACATGACCAATGGGATTTATAATCTCTTCTATCTTCGGTTTGTCGCGTTCGGCTAGTGGAAGATGTGTCTGTTTACGATCTAAGGAGGTTTCCCTTTTACTTATGCGTTTTCCTCTTGGCCGACGTGTCCACCAGAAACGTCAGAACCAGAGAAAATTTCTACAGTCATTTTGATAGATGGTATTCGGTGATTATCATCAATCCGGTGGAGTGTTGAGTCAGAGGGATTATGGTTTTGGAACCGATATCGTGTGCACAAGGTGGACATCCAACACACTTTCACCGATGTACACCCATCGCTACGATAAATCGTTTTTTTCAATTACAGTTTCCGCCCTGCATGTCCTTTCATAGGTCAGTCACTCACTTGGACGCTAAACCTAAAGATATGCACTCAACTTTTGCATACCCGACTTCACGACAAATAGGTTGCGCCTCCCCGATCGACAAATCCTTGGACAGAAGGGAAGGAAACTCGTGGAATAAAAAGCGGGATGAAACCATCGACGAGTACAAAGCTCCGAAGCATGCTACAGTCCGAAGTAAAGACTGGCTTGTATCTGGGTGAACCGTCAGGTCTCATGGAAGTTCTCAGATACTTATTGCCAGACGATGGAGGGCTCAACATGCCTTTATGTGCCTCCCCCTCTAGCACGGGTACAGTTCCTGGACGAATCGTTTTAGATGCCGAAGCAATCGCATTGTAAATAAGAGCCGGTAATTTATTGCTCTAGATTTGATCAATAGTGGATCACATGGCATGCCTCTCCTCACATAGCTCTCGAGCCGCGTACTTCGAAATTGATTACAATCGAATGCGAGGTGCATTGCGAGCTTCGAATGGAAGCCGGATAGGAGCCAAACAAGGCATATCTCTAGAGATCCATTAAACACTTAACTCAATGAGTGAATAGATGCGGGTACTAGATAGCTAGCAACTAAAAGAATTGTTTAATTAAGTAGTCAATAAGTTCAACACTCTCCATGATAATGTACACATCTCCAAATGAAACCAGGTTGAGCATCCCACAATATGTAAATGGCTTTTGATCATGCATTCATTCGCCAATCCCTTTCAGTTCGCGCCTCTTGAGCTCAGCTCCCCTCCAGCACGAAAAGAATTCACTGCTTGAGTCAATCCACTTGTTTCCTAGCAGGACATAAACAGCAGGAAGGAAAAGATCGATTTGCCGCCGCATTTTGTTACTCTTGTGTACTCAGACATACCTCCATTACAGCCACTTTTCTCTAATGCTCGTTCTTCTAGGCAAAGGTACCTGACAAGATCACCTGCCTGCGTGATCCGATCCTTCCTCCTGTGTGATAAGTCACGTTTCAGCTCGGAGTTTCCTCTCTCTTCCGCTACAGTACACCTCTTCCTGTGCCTCTATATCTGCGACATATGCCGCAAGATCGGGCAAAATTCTGTTGTCTCCCGGTAGTTTGATCCCAAAATTTCATACCCGACTTTCTTCCAACTCACAGTTTAGGGAAACTGAAATCCTGTGCCACCTAAGCCAGTGCTGTCCGCCGGCGGACTAATAGTAACCCACAGTAACGAGATAACAATAGCCAGAAGGCCAGACCAGACGAACACAATTGTCGGGGTACGACCGCGCCTTCCCATCAGCCCCTTCGCGAATGGATACAAATGCGTAAGCACCCAAACACTGAAGAACACTCCACCAACTAGCTTACTCCACTGGGGAATCGAACTATACAGTGTTCTCGAGACCGCCACGGCAATCGCGATCAAGTTCACGAGCATAATTGTGATAGGAGGCACCATCAGAAAGCTCCATTTCACCGCATATAGATCAGCAAACTCATCATTCTCATCATCACCTCCAGACTTGGAAGTAAGCGTAAAAGATATGTCCACTCCGGCAACAACTTTCAGCAATCCCTGGCAGACAGCAGCGAGATGAGCACTTGTCCCTCCAATAACCCAAAACTGCTCATTTCTCCACCACTCTTCCAAGGTGATGCCCGACCACTTCACCTCGAGTATGGCCAGGAGGCACAGAGTGATAGAAATCGTCAGTAAGTAGACCAAAAAGGTAACGTTCAAGCTCGACACGATGAATTGGCCGGAGAAGAGCGATAGAGCAGGTAGGAAACAATAGACTATCAAGAAGACGGATGTGAAGGGGTAGACACCGACATTCAGGTATGCAACTCGCTGCAAGATTTTCATGTGAGAATTGGCGAAGATAGCATTGTTTCTGGAAAAGAAAATCTCCACAGACCCTGTTGCCCATCTGAGTACTTGGTGGAGCCTATCGGTTAAATTTATGGGTGCGGTTCCACGAAATGCATCTCGCTTCGTCACACAGTATATAGATCGCCATCCACGGTTATGCATTCGAAATCCCGTCACGACATCCTCGGTAACTGAACCGTATATCCAGCCTACACGCTGACCCCATTCAGTCTTATCTTCGTAGAAACATGAGATAACATTGATCGCCTCGGCCACCGTTGCAGCATCCAGAGGTTCACGTGGAGCGGTCAACGCTCCCGCAGGCCTACTATTTGGCACGCCTTGGTCGGCAATTGGTCGTCCGGCAAACTCTGCTACAGGGATGGAAGCAACGAAACTCATGGAATTTCCGTACTGCTTGGGAAGCAAACCTCGCGCCTCTGTGTCATCATCGTCGCTGCTCGTCCCGTTGAGAGCAGACACCTCGAATTCCCTCTTCTTCTTACCAGCGGTCTTCTTGGCTTTCTTCTTGTCACCCCCACAGCAGAAAGCCCAACACGTGTGCTGTTTGGGAGCTCGCGGAGGATCAAATCCGTATAGCGCAATCCTACGGAAAACGCATCCAGTTCCCACGTACACTGGACCTTGAAGCCCGTCAAGAGCTCTCATATTGACATCGAAAAACACAGTGTTACGATTGGCGTAACGATCGCTCGGGTCGACACCCTCGAACCTCTGGGGGAACTGTACATAGCAAATCCTGTCACCACCTCGGTCCATCATGAAGCACATTGCTTCTCTCATAGCCATCGAATTGTAAATGTAGTGGTCACAATCCAAATTCAAGATGAACGGTCCATTTGACATTATGGCACTAGTTCGCACTAAGGCGTTCATGGCACCGGCCTTCTTGTTGTGATCGTACCCAGGTCGCTTCTCCCTTGACACGTAAACCAGCATGGGCAGGCGGACGTCGATGTCGGTGGTATCAATCAAATTCTCCTCATCAGGGCCCCCCATAATGGGCTCACAGGTGGGTGGAGCTAACATGACCTGTAGAAAAGTGATCAAGAACATGAGTATTCGATGTCAGTAGAATCCGGGAGTAGGGTGGTGCGAGAGCACATTTACGTCAGGAAGCAGGAGGAACGGTGCCAACCACAACGACACGGAGAAAGAACAAGTCAGCTCACCTGTATAATTCCCGCGTGGTCACCGCGACTATGCTCCTTCCCGGATATGACCCAAGTTCCAGGCCAGTGTGTACCATCTGCCATCCAAGTCGCCTTCGGTACATTCAGAGGAATAGATGGATCAGCGCCGGACTCGATTTGATTTCTTTTGGCGCGAATTTCTTCGTGCGCATTGTAGGCATCGGATCTTCGTCGAATAGAATCTGGAAGCCCATTAATTCGCACTTTGAACTCGTCGTACTCTCGTTTGACTCGTCTTCGGTCTTTGACAAAATCAGTGCGCACCTTACCCTTGGTTGGGTCACCACGAATCATGAAATAGGTTTCGGGGTTGCGGGGCTCAATGATATGCTTCCTACAGAAAGGTACCCAGACTCTGGCAAAGCTAGCTGCCTCCGCAAGGGCCTCGAAAGAGAGAAGCGCGCCTCCATCATCCGAAAGGTAACAAGAGAGCTTCTCCAGCGGATACTCTGCGGCCAGGATCGACAATATAGTGTTTGCTGTTACAAGGGGGGGTTCCTTTTCGGGGTCTGCTGTGGAAACGAAAACATCAATCCCTGGCAGGTCAGAACGCCCTCGGGGATTGTCAGGCGAAACTCGCTCAAACTTATCCTTGAGAACCTGAAGATCCGTCTGGCGATTCACGGGATTCAGCTTTGGGAGTTGATCGAGAATCCAAGAGAAAGCGAACCAGATTTCACAGACGACGGACATTCCCCAGAGCCACATGGCATCCCTGTTGGGGTTTACGACACGCCAATATAAGAAGAACCCCAAAACGACTAATCTCAACAGAGCGAGGAACCTGCCAAGAAAACCAACAATAAGTTACCGCAGCCTCGTAAACAGCGAGAGGTAATGAAGAACGACTACACAATAATATGCGCATGCAGCCATGTTAGTTTCTTACCTGTAGGGACTGATAATTCCCGCTGGAATCTTCAACTTGCGAGTGAGTGGCCTCCGCGCCTTCTCGTTGAAAGAAGGAGGAGGAGCTCCCATTCCAGCACCACCGGCCCCTTCAGGTCCCATGTACGAGTCGTCCTTCGGCCATACAGCATTCCCATAACCGTATGTACCCTTGGTCTCATACAACCACCGAGCGTGATCGAAAGAATCACCACCAGTTTGATGTTGTTGGCTCATGAGCAGGGGAGGTTTGTTGGTTTTCAGCAAAGACAACCTTCTTTCCATCTTTGAGGAGTCGTCAATATGGTTGTTAGGCGGAGGCAGAGCTCTGCGGTCCTGCACGTGGTCGGGCATTTCCTCCCCGTGGGGATCATCCTCAGTCTTGTACTCGTCTTTGCAACCAGGACACCTACCACCGGCAGCAAGAGTATCAAGATAACAATCCCGACATATTTTGAAGGCACATTCGCAAGGTAGCAAGTCTTCGCCTCGCTCATCTCTCATAGCTCTCCCATCGCAACCTTCCATCTGACAGGTGTTTCCCCTAGACCCGGCCATCTGCGGATGTGAGGCTTCGTCGTCGTCCGTCACCTTCTTCATCACATGACCCCGAGTGACGGCGTTGAATCCACCAGTGAACATTGTGCTCGATACAAACTGTTGTTCGGCTTTCGCGGCAATGACCGGGTCAGGAGCTATCGCTCGCGGGGTGTTCGAGCCAGACATAGGTTGATGATCAGGTGTGGGGGGTATGTGAACAGTGTAAGGAAACTCCGAACTGACATCCCCGTTCAGCTCTATCGACTGGTCGTACTCATCCCGTGAGATAGAGACATATCTTCCGCTCATGGTGCGACGAGTATTGCCGTTGACTGGAGAAGAGCTGCCGATCTTCATTCTCGGGCTTTGGCTCTGACCACTCGACAAATTTCTGAACGATTTTCCTCCGGTCCCAAACGCCGACCCCGGAGAAGCCATACTGAGCCTGTTAGGACACCTTCAAAACTGGGCTGGATTTTTAATCAGATTCTGCTGCTGGCTTTAGTGTTGAGAAGCTTTGCTTCTGTAACGATCCACGAACGAAACGCGCTCAATGGAAAGCTCAGCTTCTTTCTACAGGTTCCCTAGATAGCCGCCCATTGACCCCAACCCCACGAGCTCCTGTGGATGTTTGACCGGTCGATGACGGACTAAAAGCAGTTGACAAGAATGTATCGAAACAGCTCCCATTTACTTCTGCATTCTCGTCCCCACTCTCGCTCGCCTCTAGCATGCTTTCGTTCGACGTCAAAGACACACCATAAGATAGATACTCAGCTGTTCCACAGCAATGAACTGGACTGTCGCACTCCACGTTTGTAAACTTCTTCTGTTCTCCCAGACTCGTCAAACTTCGACACTCGCGCTCCCAAGAGAAGAAACTGCACCTCACCAGGCTTCAGCAGGACAGCTTCAGAGTTTTTCTACGTGTTTCCTTACCCGTCGGCACTCCTCGGCACTCGTGTACCACCCTGCTCGTTCGAGCAGGCACTGAAGAGGGCGACGGAGAGGAGTGGAGTGCTGCGATGGGCACGGAGGGGGTAGGAGAAGAGAAGCGAACGTTGCAGAGCCGAGCAGGAGGAGAGCTGCAGTGCGATGTTCGGGGGATGTGGGTTCAGGTGTTGTAGTCGCAGGGTTGAGGTCCTCCAAACACGTGTTTGAGGACCTAGGCAAAGACGCTGCTGGAATGCCTGCTGAAGAAGAAGGCAGGAAAGAGCAGAATGTCTGTGCCGAATTTGTAACCCAGTGGGAATCCGTCATCTCTCTGCATTTTGCAGCCAACGCGAACAACCACGGAGTTGGCCCGTTTGCCGGTGAAACGCGCTAGCCCAACGTCTGTCTTCCCCTTGGAACCGGCCAACGGTAGGTACAGTGGAGAAGGATCGTTGCGGCTCGAACTAGGCCAGATCTCGGCTGGGCATGTGGGACCGACCGGCGCAGATAACGGGCTGAGAGCTGACTTCGCGTTGAGCACGATCGACTATGTCCACGTGGTTTCGAACACGTCGGACGTTGGCCGGCAAGACATTACTGGGTTCTTTCCAGATGAAGAAAGTGGGACAGCAGTGAAGAATTACCTTCTCAGACTCTATCCTTGGGCTTCATTGGGTGGCGCCAAAACCCAATATCCTGAAAACGAAATTTAGGACCTAGGGCAGATCTCGGGCGGGCATGTGGGACCGACCGGCGCAGATAACGGGCTAAACGCGGACTTTGCGTTGAGAACGCATAAGTACATCCACGTGGCTCTTTGACCAAGTCGGACGTCTGCCGGCGTGAGACTACTTCGCTCTTTTCCAGCTCCTGAAAGTGGCGTAGCAGTAAAACTTTGCCGCCTCAAAGTCTATGGGGGGCGCCAAAGCCCAACATATCGTTGTTCGATTTGAAAGCTCCTGCTGTGACCGATTAAATGTATGATGCATGGACCTTTCACGTAACAGGATACGGCAAATTGACTCGCAGCAAAGCTGCTCCCATCATACTCAGTCATCAGGAGGCCTCCGCCTTAGAGCACAGTGGAGCCACTCTAGTCTAAAGTTATTCGAAAACGTGGGCCTTCGTGATAAATAATCACAATGCTGTTTGTAATACTTGGTAATGTGAAGGTCCACTCTTTCAACTTCAAAGTTCTAGCTTGAAAATATGGAACAAAAATGCATCTCGAGAACTGTTAATGTGAGCAAATGGATGCGGTTTCACATGCTCCGCTTTGCAGCTTAATTGAATTTATCTTGTACTTACTCCACAAGTACAAAAGTCGAAGAAGTCGTTGGGTGTCCCTTTTTTAGAAAAAGAAAACAATGATGAATTGAGCTGGATCTTCTTAGCAGCAGCGGCAAACCTTTGCAGGTCCTCCATATGCACCTCAAATTCGCAACACTGTGTCGTGATTCGTTTCGTGACTGGGCTCAACACCTGAAATATGTATACTATCTCGTTTTGAGGGGAGTCTTTTTTACATGCTTGAACATCTTTGCTTGTCGTAAAGATCTACCAGCTGTTAGCTTTTTACCGACACATGAAATATTTAATTCACCTTCAGTTCCTGCTTAATATGTACAAACAAGAAGGAGCTTAAGACTTTGCTTCCAACTTGGGCACGACTTCATTTTGAAAGAAAAAAACTTTCATTCAAATATAAGATCTATGAACTTGATTTCAAGACTACGCTCTTTGATAGCACAAATTTTAAACCAATGTTGATTCGGTCCCCAAAAACATACAAATTATCTCTTGAAAAATGTTACAACGAGTACAACGTTTTTTGATGTTACAGAAGTTTTAAAGAAAACAATATAATCTTCTCTAAGAAGCATTTACTCAAATTACCAAGATCTGTAGTTACTTTCCGAGGTCTTGAACGCTCCTTATCAACTCGCGCCGGAATCAATACGTAAAAGTACCGAAAATGTGTGAGCTTTTGTCTCACACTTGCAGTTTGTGGGCACTTGGAGTTCCAAGTACACATGCAAAAGTTCGGACGAGTGCCTCAAGTATATGGACGACAGACTCATTGACTGTGCGTTCTGCACATCCCCCTGAGAATGATTCCTCGAGATGACTATGGGTCAAACATTGCTGGTTATTAGCGAGGTCACGGCTTTGCCTTAGACAAACATGGTCGCTCGCAGATATATACGATTAACACACGATACGCACACAATTCTCCCAGCTCACGACTGCTCCCTCAGCATTTGGAACCTTCATGAACAAGTCAAGTTACCGAGTCTCACCTCGTGGCGGGTCTTGGTATGAAACTAGCCAAGATTGGCACTTTTCTCTTCATCTCTCTGAAGAATCCAATACACGTTCTCATGAAAGAAGAAGGGAGAAAATGACACGCTTGGCATGACTTCTTGATACAATTACTGGATGTTGTGATGTACACATCTCAACGAACAGCTTGTGAGATCATATGCTATGTGTGAAACTCCCAGTATGTAGTGCTTTATGAAAACCCCACCGGTCCTTGACCGGTGGGTGAAAGCCGGAAGTGCTATTTTCTAATCAGATGATGGGTAGATCGTCAATCTTATTAACGAAGCTTTTGAATACCTTGACTTTCACATGTTGGGGATGGCTTTGTCGAAGCTTCGTATCAAAATGTACCAGGAACAGTTTGTCTATCCACATCAAATTGGTTTCACTCCAGGTGAATGTTTCACTAAAGTGAACGGACTTCTGGAGATTACTCTGCTCGGTCCTATTCTGCCCCTCTATGAACCCATTCAACGATTAAATATATATTCTGACGTAGTAGGTGACTTCCTTGTCGAAATAGTAAGATGCATCGCAAGGTTCTGGCCTGTCGCGCGAATCAAGCTCAATGTGAGACTTCTTAATTACCAAGCACATGTATGTAGGACACGGAAGGTCTTGTGCCTTCAATAACTTTAATAGAAGATGTTTTTAAAAAGTGGTGATATGATATGAAGGATGAGGTATAAATTTTAGATGTCATATCTGTAAATTACATAAGAAATGTTTTATCGGCACTAAATTTTCATCTCTTTGGATCTCTGTATGGAAAAAGTCAAACGGGAAGCCTATGCAAGTGTCATAGACCTGACGAGCATGAGTGTAACAATCTTTTGTGATTTAGATCCTTCATAAAGGTTTGGTAACACAAAAGTTGTTCGAGACAGCTGGATAGTTTAGCGCGTAGAATACACACTCTACAGCCCCACTGTTTTGGGGATTCGGACACAACATATCCATTCTATCGGAGTCATCGGACACTTTCTGAAACCACCTTGTAAATCGATATTTGGAATATAATGAGAAAATACGTTGAATGGACCAGAAAATTGAAGCCAACAGCAAATTGAACTTTTACTGCTGAGTTTGATTTATCTGCAGCAATATGAGTTTCCAGGTGCCAAAATCTTGTCGCTGAGCAAAGAAAATGGGATCAAGATCATCACCTGCTGTTTCATGAACATTTGTCACTCTAGCTCAAAATGTGGATGTTCTCTGAGCTGATGTAACAATTGGAGACTGTGAAACACGAATAAGAAAGCTGGTTCAGATCAGTAAATCCAAATCTCTAGATTCATTTTCTTCTGTCGTGCTACAAGAGTCACATGATAGATAAAGATTGAGGGACTTGTAGCACATTCTCTATAAATTAAAAAAAAAGTCAATTTTTATGTGCAAATTATACTCATGTTTGAACTCTTTAGATATTTATTATTTATCAATCGGCTAGCCCCTTGATATCCGCTCGATTATATGGTAGGAATGGTATGCTGGAAAATTTCCTCTTTCTTTTAAGATGCAGCCAGCACCGTTTTGAGTTTTATTATATAACTGCTAAGACATACACATGTTAATATTTATATTTTATTGAGAATTGCAGCCCAAATCCTTTCAAAAATTGTCCAAGTCAATCAAATATTTTTAGTGTATCGGTTGTTTAGGCGTGAAATGTTGCCACACTTGCAAACATTAGAATTATTATTAGAAAGAACTAACATCTAAATTTTCGTATGTGACCTTTCAATTTTGCGGAATGTAGAAAGCTTCTTCATTCTGATTAGTTTATATTTTTGTCACCTCTAACTTTTTTTTCATAGTTGATTACAATTTTCGAATCACACATGTAGATGTGAAAATGCAACCAAAAAATAATCTTCTCATTTCATGTGCAGGAATTAATATAAACAAAATAATAATAAATTTGAAGTGTTCTATGAAAGAATCATAGAGGGTATATGATGTAATCCTCAAGAGCATGAAAATGAAATATATTACTTTTTTTAAGAAAATGTATACAAATATTCATATCAAACTATTTCTATACAACTAGAGCATATAAAATTACTGGTATTCTATGAAATACATAACATGCATTTATTGTAAATAAATTGATACATTTTGGCCGAATATGTTAGTTTTAACTTAACTCTATCTATCTTAGATAGTTTAACTTTAACTAACATTTAGAATATGCTATTACCATATATGAGTATTTTCAAAAAAATTTGTCAATCCTTTTATGTTTTCTTCAGTAAAGACATTTTGAGTTATCTTGAACGTCGTCCGTAGTGTTAATGATAATTGATGTTAGGGTTTCTGACTTCAACTATATATAAGAAAGAGACATGGCTTGATCCACACATTGTTTTTTGCTAAATTTTTATGATCTCGTGATTAGACTTTGATTAATCACGAGCTTAATCACAGATCCATGAGGAACATGTATTATCTATGTTGAATCAATGAGCATATTTTTGTATGTTTGTGTGAAAATATACGTTTATTTTCTTGTGATTTTAAGTTACAAATGGTATTAGAGCACAAAAAGTACATGCACTTCAATAAGAGTAACTAGCATCATATAAAAACAAACTATACTAATGTGATTCTATTTTTGTTTGTACAAAACTTGCTTTACTTTCATTTACTACAACTACCTATCATATGGCAAAAATAAGTATGAACATTGATGATTGAAGACAATCAAAGATTTACTCCTAGTAAGAAGGAGAAAAATCCATGTGAAACATCAAATGTGAAGCAGTCAAGTACATTAGTGCGCTCATGTGCTTTTAATTCACATTGAGCTTCAGCAAGCTTGTAGTGTACAAATTCAGAGTCATTCAATCATGAAGTAAGTTTTTTTATGAAGTCATGGTTTGAAAGTTTGTTATTATCTGTGTAACATCGCCTCGTCTTACATTGTCACCATTTAAAAATATGATTATGTTATGCATTTGATGTTTGATGTTGCAATTCTCTATACCTTT